AATACTAAAACTTCTTGACGTTTTAGGTCAGGTCATACGAACTTGCAAACTTCCTGCTTTCGTCTACCTGCCTGAAATTTATTGAGTCTACCCAACTATTGTACTGATTGCGTTGACATTTTCAGTATCTATACTGTAGGAAAACGGCAACCAAAATTTTGTGAACTTAGTTGCGTTACTATTAGCACTACAGCATATGTCTCAAAATTATGTTTATTCGGTGTACATACATCCAAGATTTGCTTTGCTTCAAAGGTGAAGCAGCTTTTGATGCACTTTCTGAGATACGAACAATAACATAATTAAGAATATTTTTCACTTCAGGAATATGCAAGTAACCAGTTTCGCTTTCGCATTTACTACTACCAAAAAATACACATAAATCAAGGAAGTATGCAAAAAATAATTCATATCATGTTATGGTCATTTGATGTTTGAAAAATGCTATTATATTGTATTTTTTGCAATTCTTGCAGCATATTTTTATACATGCTTCATGGCTAATTTTGAATAAACCAAGCAACAAACAATGACATGTAAACTTGACTGGTAATAAACATATTACCAGTCAAGTTTACATGTCATTGTCGATTGAAAAATGTTTAAAAAAAAACACGCCAACTTGATAATTGTTTTTAATTAAACACCTGTTATCAGTTCTGGTATTAAAAGACAGTTCACTGAATTGGTATATAAATGTCTGTTTCTTGCTTTTTTTGATGAATTATATCAACTTTTCATAACAAAAAACCAGGAAATAACTCTATACTAAAAACGTATTTACAGTGACTCATCAAAAAAAATCCAGGTATGTAAGGTGTAAAATGCAGAAGTGTAACATTAAATTATTTTTCGACCATTATAAACACTCTTAAGGCGTATGGTTATTAATATTATTTTTGAGAAGGCGGATTTATTGTCCATTGCTAGGAGAAATCGCACTTGCAAATGACAGCTTTCTTCTGCAATTATCTCCGTTTAGCATACTTCCAAGAAGGCTGAATGAAATACTAGTACACGCATTTTTACGTATATGTATAACTAGAAGACGCAACTTTAACATAAACAGATTTTTCACGAAAGAAAATACATACATCGCACAATCAAATTTTTAGTTAGCTGACGCAATAAATTCATGGTCATCCATGTCACTCTTTTGATGATATTACACCTAACTTGTGTTTATGTCTAATATATACATTATTATGAAATGAAATGTTATTCCCAAACATTCAGTAGTCTGTTTTACACAAAAACCAAGGCCAAATAATTTACATACACACTTTTAGTTGATTTAGAGCGACCGTATCGAATAAAATATTTATTAATTGCCTTATTAAAAACGTCGGTGAATGTGAGTCGCAGAAATAACGCGAACTTTAAACGTGTTCAATACCAGCATTTGGTCAAATTTTGAATCATTTAAAATGCAAAATAAAATAAAAATACAGGTTCAAAAAGTCTGAAACGCATTATCAGGAAACATGAATGACTTGTTCCTTTCCTCGTGCAGTGAATTAATTAATTTATTAAAACCCCCCAACAGGTTTCCTTCTACTAAAAAAATATGCGTCTCATAAACACTTTATAAAACCTGATAATGTGTTAAACGCTTGCGTGATTTCTTAAAAGCATACGAATTGCAAATAACATGAAGATCAAGGTTACAAAAAAGGGGTTGATTTGACCCTCCATTCAAAATACGAGTGGAAGCTACAAAGTGATGTAACGTTCTTGACTTAAATAGCTGCTATTATAATTTTCAGGTCAAGCTTTATTGAAATTTCAAATTTATTATGTGATACGTTACCGTTAAGTTTAAACAAACATAACGGTTTAGAAGATGAATATTTTGCTGGCATTCTAATCAAGATTGATATTGCATTTCAGTTCGATTAAAAAAAAAAACAGTTTTTACTTTGTTACCATCGATGTTATCATGAAGTAAAATACATATAAACCACGGAAAGTAATGGGCATTGATTACTATTTCGAAAGTAAACGTTTCAGCAGGTAAATTATTATATTAATTGATTTTTCTAAGTTTTATCTATACTCATACTATTTGCGAATTTTTGAAAAATAACTTGAAACTAATTCAAAACCACATTTAGTAAAATTATAAAATGGTTTTATGAAAGCTATATGCATAGTGAAAATCCTAAAAAATCGAAAACTCAATCGTCGTTTGATAGATTTAATTACACCAAGTTAGTCGTCTCCCCATTTCTTAGCTTCATGCTGCAATTATTGAATATTCATAAGGGACCTGCTCAACTATTTTTTATGAAGTGAAAAATTATTACAAGCAGGAAAACTCTGATCACAGCCAGAGCAATGACGTCAGGGGCGGTTTTTTTGCTTTTTTTTTTTAAGCAATTTTGAACTTCCGCATGTCCATCAAAGGTTTCCGACAAAGTCACGACGGGATACCAGATGACGGGCAGGAGACGTAATCGATAAACCGACACATAAACCGAAGAGACGACAGAAATACAACTTTGGTCGTTAACATTTTATGCAACCATAAAGCAGACATATTATAAAGCAGCCAGCCGTCCGTTGACTGCCTGCATACAAAACTGTGTATCCAACTTTCCACAATTTTGAATGAATTTAAAAAAATCGCATAGAAATATTGTTCTTACATAAAACAAAAAACAAAAAAAAATCAGGTTAATATTAGCTAAAACTGCTCTTATCGTATACGACTACTGTATTACAGTACAAACGAAATATGACTGAACATTCTTTTCGAATACGGTTATTGATTACATGTTTCTTAAATAACCTCATCAACATAAATCCACGCAATTATAAAGAAAAACACTCTAGTTTTTATATTTATTATTCCATCGTACACACATGATAATTTGTTACATCTGACATACAAAGTTTTGTTCTGAAGAACTAGGTGTTTAACAATTAACATTATATTCACTAGATGGAACATCAAAAATGTCCACAAGGTCGTTAAAAGTAGGTATTTTAGGCAGACACTGTACAAAACAAAAAATATTTTACGTAACATATACATACAATCATACAGTTGGTTTCAAAAAAAACGGGACTAATCCGTGACATGAACGTCTCATCCCATTGCTTTTCATTCATCTATGAAAACGTGAGTTTCTGATATTGTCACATCTTTTTGAAACCAATGGTACATTAAAAAAGTGCAATACAACATGTACGTTCTGTTAAATAAAAATTAATCAAAATAAGCTGACATTTAAAACTTCATTTTGGATTTTTGGTTAGTGAATGTCATTGGTTATTGTATGTTTTGAGTTTAAAACTGGTTGTCACTTTGACATTCACATTTATAGTTATAATATTTACCTCAATCTCAAAATGTGTCAACACTATCGCACAACATGCACTCAACAGGAATGACAACTGCAGTTTTGAACAACACCAAACTTTAAACTTGACTTTTTCCAATCATACGTATGGTACAGCTTCATTCATTTAAGAATTTAAATGTTATTTCATGTTCATATATATATGCTTGTTCTCATAAGAAAAAAAAACTTTATTTGACATCGTCTTGACTCGACACGAATTCAAATACACAGTTACGAATTTAATACACTCTTTGTAAAAAGCAAAATACATAAAAATTTTATAGCATGAGATAAGAGGGCATCGTATACATATATGTGAGGTTTATTCATCCCAAAACAAATTTGATATTTGTAAACGTTGTCATAATAAAAAAAAAGTTGGTGTACGTACCATTCAAGAATTTAAGTAATTGAAATCAAAAAATTTTAGTTAACTGCATTTTCGTGTTAATGCAATCTGCTTATATCAAATGCAATTTTATAATATAATCTACTTGGACAATAAAGAAAAACAATGGATTTTACAACAAACTGACTATCAATGTAAGAGATGTATAAAAAAGTATAGAAGAGCCACAAAATATACAGCAACATTATGCAGCTACTTACTTCACATTTCAGATTTACATTTATTTAGTGGAGGCAGTGTTAAATTTAGAAATTCACTAGAAATTAGAACCAAGCAACGCTTATGTGAAGGTCTAGCGGAGGTGGATGACCGCACATAATGTTTACAAAATCTATTATTTTAAACAAATATAAAACAGTAAGAAAGAAGCTTATGCTAAAATTTAATATTTACTCACTGCAACATGGTTCCTAAATATATTTTTTAGATTTCATAGCAAATTTTATGCAAAAAAAATTGATGGAAGGTTATTTTGACAGAACTTCCCTCGCCCTTGAAGTGCAGTACAAGAAATCCAGCTTTTTTGAAAAATTATTACATTTGATTTTGCGAATTTTATTTTTTATGAGAACCCTTACAAATTAAAATAAAAACATATTTGTAATGCTAAAATAAAGATAAACAAGCTAGCTACACATTTGTTTCAAGTGAATTTTCCATTGTAGAATTTTGTGCTGTCATCAATATTTTTGCAAGGAGACACGTATGTATATGAATTTAGACTGATGCAATGCAATACATACTAACAATAACAGTATTCTTTTCCCAAATTTTCGGGGTAAAATAGAGTGAGTCATTCTTGATTTAATCAATAATATAAATGCCTCAATCATTAATTTTTTTAGTCATCCTGTGTTCGGGCCAATCGAGAAGCCCGCCGTGCAACCAGCGACGGAAGGGAGGGGGACACAACCACCCTCTTCCACTTCAATTTGTAAATAGTTTTTAGTTCTGTACGAGTTAGGCTAGGTAAATAAACGATAAAAGTACAGACGGGTTTTGTAGTTGCTCTGAACCACATCAGTCCAGAGTGTCACCCATTGTGACCTACAAGTAACCAGGGCCATCCATTGTGGCTTACAAGTTGGTCACCCATTGTGACCTGGTCCTTCGAACCGACGACGCGATTCACCAGGTTGAATTGCATCACAAGAATAAACCACCATTTTTTGGGCCTACAACCGCCACACCAACATTTTTGGTCCTACGAGTCGGATCGTAATCCAGCGCCAGAAGTAGCAGATCAGCCAGCCGAATTAAGGTCATCCCGTGGAGAAGAGAACGAGCAAGAGTTCGGTGGTGCCAAGGGTAAAGGTAGGCCTTTTTTATTTATCAGTTTGGTTTGTGGTTTCTCATACGCAGCATTCATTAATTAGTTAAAATGACTCAGGAAGAGTTAAAGGCGTTAATTAACAAAAGGGGTATGGTAAAGGCGACATTGACCAGAATGAAACATTTTGTTGACAATTTTCAACCGGGTAATAATGTCTACCAGCTGAAAACGCGTTTACCGCATATTCAAAAGGCGTTCACAGAGTTCGATGACATTCAAAGGCAAATAGAACTTTTAGACAATAGGGTCGATCAGTCTAAGGAACGCGAGGAATTTGAAAATAAGTATTACGATTTAGAATCAGCAGTGCTAGAAATTATTGATACAGATGTACAAAATTCGGCAAATGAACGTAACACGAGTAGTCCCAGTTCAAGTAAACAGAAAGGTTCAGAGGTAAGATTAAATCCGGTACGGTTGCCCACATTGGATTTACCTGTATTTTCGGGGTCGTATTTAGATTGGCAAGCATTTTCGGACACATTCAAGTCGTTGATTCACGATAATGAGTTATATACAAATATCGAAAAATTTCATTATTTAAGGTCATGTTTAAAAGGAGGTGCCTATAAAACATTAGAGTCGGTAAAGATTTCGTCAGACAATTATCCTATCGCTTGGAAAACGTTAGAAAAAAGATACGCGAATACACGTTTAATTGTGCAAGAGCATGTGCTGGCTATAATAAATTCGCCCAATTTAATAAAAAATTCGGCAACGGCAATGCGCAAATTACTAGACGATATAACAGTTAATACCGAAGCTTTAAAAAATTTACAAATAGAAGTTGATAAGTGGGATGCTTTAATTGTACCGTTAATTACTTTGAAATTTGATTTTATTACGAAACGCGATTGGGAATCCACATTGGACACAGAAGTAGCGACTTTAACAGAATTAATTTGTTTTTTGAGCAAGAAAGCGGCTCTATTAGAATCCTTAAATGTAGGAGAAAATTATTCAGTTAATAATAATAAATTTCAACATTCGGGTAAATTTAAGCATAATTTACAAGTTTCAAAACAACCACGACCATCCACTTCATGTAATACCACAGTCACAAACGATAAGGTTTCAATTCAATGTTTTTTGTGTAAAGGAGCTCATACATTATACCGTTGTAATGAATTTCTTAGTATGTCAGTAGCCGATCGAACGAGTACCATCAAGAAATTAAAATTGTGTTTAAATTGTTTTAAACGAAATCATTCAACGGAGCAGTGTAAAAGCGGTACGTGTAGGCAATGTCAGGAAAAACACAATTCATTGTTACATAGAGAAGGTGACAATCAACAAAATAATTCGAGCACAGATTCAGGTCAAACAATTGTTTCCCATGCAAGACATAACGCAGAAAATTCTACACAAGTGTTGCTGTCAACGGTACAAATATTCATTAGAGACTGTTCAAATAATTGGGTCATGTGTAGAGCGTTACTAGATTCGGGATCCCAATCAAACTTTATAACACAGCTATTATGCAATAAATTAGGTTTGTCATCAGCTCAACTTCATGGAGAAATAATAGGTATCAATGGTTCAAGGTTTGATGCACAAAGGCTTACAAAAATTCACATTAAATCAAGATATGACAACCATGATTTCAAGATAAGTTGTTTTGTTTTAAGCAATATTACACAAAGTTTGCCGTCAATATCATTTGAAAAGAACGACTTGCAGTTACCCTCTAATTTAAAACTTGCGGACAATGAATTTAACATCCGGTCACCGGTTGATATTTTATTAGGGGCAGAGATTTTCTGGAAGGCTATTCGAATGGGGCAGATTAAGTTAGGTAAAAATTCTTTGCATTTACAAGAAAGTTGCTTTGGATGGATAGTGGGTGGTACAATTAGCACAGGTAGTTTCATGCAAAATGGTCTGTGCAATCTGTCTTTAAGTAACCTAGATAAACAAGTTAGGGCTTTCTGGGAAACAGAACAATGGCCAGGGGAAGAAGGTTCTCAGAATAATTATCCATCGCAGGAAGATAAGGATTGTGAAAACCACTTTCTAAATACCCATAAACGTGATCCTTCCTCGGGTCGGTTTATTGTACGCCTACCTTTTAAGTGTAATCCGGTTACAATGGGTAGGTCCGACGAAATTGCTAGAAAACGGTTTACAACCCTTGAAAATAAGTTGAAACGCAATGAATCACTCAGAATTCCTTACAAGCAGTTTATGGACGAATACTCTGAATTGAACCACATGGAACTTATACCGGGATCCGATAGTACCGAAACGTCTGTATATCTGCCACATCATGCAGTTGTTAAGGAATCGAGCACGACGACAAAATTACGGGTAGTATTCGATGCAAGCGCAAAAACCTCTAAAAGCACGAGTTTGAATGATTTTTTATCGATAGGTCCTAAACTTCAGGATGATCTTTGCGCCATCATTCTTAGATTCCGTTCACATCAATACGTTATCACGGGTGATATAAACAAAATGTACCGGCAAATTTTGGTCGCAGCGGATGATCGTAAATATCAGCGGATATTTTGGAGAGACGATTGCACAAAACCTCTGGACACCTATCAGTTAAATACGGTAACTTATGGTACTGCATGTGCTCCATTTTTAGCAGTCCGGTGTTTGAAAGAACTCGCAGATGAAAATAAGGTCGCTTATCCTCACATTTATCCTGTTATCATACACGACATGTACATGGACGATGTTTTGACAGGAGGCAATACAATAGCAGATGTATTAAAATTGCGCGAGGACCTAATAAAAGTACTAAGTCAGGGTCAATTTGAGTTGAGAAAATGGGCAGCAAATAATTTGTCACTGTTGACATGCGAAAGGAATCTGCCAGATACGAGCGAGTTTGACAATGGGGTAATTAATTTCGATAAAAACGGGGAATCAAAAACGTTAGGATTATACTGGAATTGTCAGGAGGATTATTTAAAATACGAAATTAACGTAGATAATAAGGCAAGGGAATCTTTTACAAAGCGTAAAATTTTGTCTACGGTGTCTAAAATATTTGATCCATTAAATCTGTTAGGTCCAGTCATTGTTAAGGCTAAATTGATTATACAAAGATTATGGGAAATGAAACTTGGTTGGGATGAAAGAATACCCGCCGAATTAGTAAAAATATGGTTACAATTGTTAGATGAATTTACAATTTTGAACAATATCCGAATACCTCGAAAGGTGATTAGTCACTATCCGTACAGCCGTATTGAAATGCATGGGTTTTGTGATGCTTCGCAAAGAGCATATGGTGCATGTGTCTACATACGCACACACAGTGCAAATGGTTCCGTCTCATCCAATTTATTGTGCAGTAAATCGCGTGTAGCACCACTTAAAACAATTACCATTCCCAGATTAGAGTTATGTGCAGCCCTATTGTTAGCTAAGTTAGTAAATAGCGTCATTCAAAATTTAAGAACAAGGGTGGACGAGATATTTTATTGGACGGATTCGATGATTGTATTAGCATGGTTGGCAACTTCACCATCCGTATTAAACACCTATGTAGCTAATAGGGTCAGCCAAATTCAAACCTTAACTACCGTTGAAAAATGGCACCACGTAATCTCAAACGAAAATCCCGCGGACATAATTTCACGAGGGGCGCTTCCCAGTGAACTAATCAATAATCAAAAATGGTTTAACGGGCCCGTCTGGCTCAGCAAAAGAGAGGAAATTTGTCCAGATAAAATCGTCCAACCCACAGAAATATTGGAAGTAAAAAGATCTTGTTTAGTGGGTGTTAGTCATTCTGAATTCAACTTTCTAGAGAGATTTTCTTCATTTTTCAAACTGCAACGCGTCATCGCCAATTGTTTTCGATTCATTCACAATTGTCGAAATAAGGGTAACAAGGTAGAAAATGAATTTTCAAGGAACGAATACGCTAGGGCCACAACTGCTATAATATCAATGCTACAAAAATTAGAATTTTCAAACGAATTAATCAAACTTGGAAATAATTTGTCCGTTAGCAAATCTAGTAAATTAAGAACACTTAATCCCTTCTTAGATAAGGACGGCATTATAAGAGTAGGGGGACGTTTGCGTAACGCCAGTATAGGTTACGAACAAAAACATCCCATTGTGTTGCCCAAGCATCACGTGACAAAATTAATAATTCAAGAAGAACACGTGGCCAATTTACATGCTGGGCCCACAGCAACACTGACAGCAATTCGCCTAAAATTTTGGCCCTTAGCAGGTAGAGCCCAAGTAAGGCAGGTAATTCACAATTGTTATAATTGCTTTCGTGTAAAACCAGTGAGCGTAAATCCAATCATGGGCGACTTACCAGCGTCACGAATGGTAAAGGAACGACCGTTCAAAAATACTGGACTAGATTATGCCGGTCCGCTATTCATAAGAGACGGAAAAACGCGAAATAGACGTACAGTAAAGGTATATATTGCACTTTTTGTATGCTTTTCCACTAAGGCAATTCATTTAGAGCTGGTCGGTGATATGACCACGGAGAGCTTTTTGAACGCGTTAAAAAGATTTATGGCGCGTCGAGGACTGGTAGACAACATTTACTCTGATAACGGTAGTAATTTTGTAGGTGCAATGAAAGAGTTAAAGGAATTGTTTAAGGCAGATAAGTTCAAAGAAATTTTAACTGAGGTCAGCAGAAAAAACATAAATTGGCATTTTATACCAGTCAGAGCACCTCACTTTGGAGGTATTTGGGAATCAGGGGTTAAATCAGTTAAATTTCATCTTAAAAGAGTTATAGGCAATGCAATGCTGACATATGAGGAGCTGTATACCCTGCTGGTAGGTATAGAGGCTTGTCTAAACTCGCGGCCGTTATGTCCATTGACAGAAGATCCGAACGATGACGAAGTCCTGACGCCAGGACATTTTTTAATTGGCAGTTCATTAACAGCTATACCGGAACCTGATATGAGCGACTGGAAGACGGGACGCTTATCCCGATGGCAACATGTTGAGCAAATTCGTCAGCACTTTTGGCGTCGATGGTCCCGGGAATATTTGGGTCATTTACAACCAAGGGCGAAGTGGCATCGAACTACCTCCCAAATACAGCCGGGGATGTTGGTCCTCCTGAGGGATCCCAGTCCACCCCTAAATTGGCGACGAGGACGAGTGGTAGAACTCCATCCAGGCCCTGATGGATGCACCAGGGTCGTATCAGTACGTGTCGGGGACCGCATAATGAAGAGAGCCGTCAGGACGTTGGGGGTACTACCGGTGGATTGAACAAGCCGTTCAATGCGGGCCGGGATGTTCGGGCCAATCGAGAAGCCCGCCGTGCAACCAGCGACGGAAGGGAGGGGGACACAACCACCCTCTTCCACTTCAATTTGTAAATAGTTTTTAGTTCTGTACGAGTTAGGCTAGGTAAATAAACGATAAAAGTACAGACGGGTTTTGTAGTTGCTCTGAACCACATCAGTCCAGAGTGTCACCCATTGTGACCTACAAGTAACCAGGGCCATCCATTGTGGCTTACAAGTTGGTCACCCATTGTGACCTGGTCCTTCGAACCGACGACGCGATTCACCAGGTTGAATTGCATCACAAGAATAAACCACCATTTTTTGGGCCTACAACCGCCACACCATCATCCTGTATAAGTAATTATAAAATTAAAATGCATTGATAAACCACAAGCATATGATCATAATATTTTGCATACTTCAGGTTTATTAGGCAAAATTTTAGGATGACATCATCAATTTTTAGGGAGGGAATAAACGATTTTTTTTAACGATCTACCCTGATTACGCTAACCTTAAAACGTCTATAAAATTTCAGAGCACAATGAAAACTCGACATGGATTCATAAACCACAATGCATGAGTATCTTATTTCATAAAATTTAAATCAGATTTACTATCGTAAATTTTGGAGATGATGTCATCCCATTGGTGGCAGGGATGATTACCCAACTTTTGGTTAGTGTTTCACTATCTACATATTCTTAATGTACATACAAAATTTAACAACAATCGGTGCACTAATTTTTCAGACTATCTCTCTAATAAAAATCGACACAGAGAGATAGACAGACAGAAATGGGAGACCATTTTTTCATGAAATTCCGAGAAAACATGAAAGAGCCAAGTCGCCCGATGGACCCCATTACTACTCTTTAGCTTACTTACGCTCGGGAAGGAAGAAGTTCTTTACACACTCGAAGTATTTTTCCATTACATATTCATGCATGTCATGCAAAAATGACGCTTAAGAACTGGAAATGATATCGGCATGTATAAAAAATTTAAACTGAAATTAACACTACAAAGAGCCTTGAAGAAGCCAAACTTTTTATTGAAGTAGTTTGTCACTAAACTACATTAGTATATTCCTATACATGCGATACAATGCTCATAAAAACAGATGTCTACTGTTAACTCCAACTATTCTTTGCCTCAGAGGATACAAAAAACTTTGGTCGCAATTGCATTATGCCTGTAACATTGTCAATAAACATGCAGGCTGAAAATTTTGTGTGTCACTACCGCTAATAATATCCCTATTCAACTTTATTTGGAAGTTTGAGTACAATTTTTAGTCCTAAACCTCACGACCAGTAGAACTGCACATACATAATTAGTACAAAGGTAACGTGTTCCCAACGTTAATGTATAATAAATTGCAGGGAAAGTTTTATCCATTATGTTTTAATTATTACTTGTGAATTTACTTTGGTGTTGTCAACTAGATGAACAAAGTGTACTTAATGATTAACTCATCCGTACTTTTTGAGTAGAAATTAAAAAAAGGTAGAAATTCACACAGACACGTAAGAGAAATTGTGCAATAAGGAAATGAATAAACGTGAATGTGTAGTACTGTTTTAAAACTGAGTTGACAAGTTAATATATCTATTACACATTTCCACGGACATTGTACAATTAAAACGCCCACAAGTATGGCAGAAATTTATATTTCCGTAACATAATAATCGGCTCCAACGGTGATCTGACGTTTTTCTGAGTAGAGACAGAAAATTACCATGCAGTTTAAAACGGCAACACTGTTCAAGACAAGATAACCTTACTCCAATTTATATACACGCATGACTGCCCGCAATAATGGGTTCTTTATACAAAATAGTACTTCTTTTGTATTGTTTTTCTTGTATGTAATTTAATACAATGTTGTTGATTTTATCGTTGAGATTCCTCCGCCTTTCCATCCGTCAGTCGGTCTGCACTTTTTACAGTGGAACTTAACGAACAGGCTGTATCCTGTATCGATCAATCTTTATAAACTAACCACGACATCAATCATGTACAAAAATAAAAACGTTGGTTTAAAGTGAAACAAAGTAAATTAAACAAATGCCTGTTATCTTACATATATATTATTTTCGTTATTTCGTCGTTAAATGAAGGCTCCCAAACTGCAACAAAAGGTATTCTTAGACACATTTCCTTGAATCAATTTACCGTTAATTTTTCATTGACTTCTCAGAAACATTACTTTCGCAATAATAAAAAAAAATATTCGAAAATTACATGCATCAGAACAATAATTATACAACACCACACGTCGTTCTCACAGACGTGATGAGATAAAATTAATCCGTAGTATCAAACGGACCAAACTCGATACATTCCAATTGGCCATAATTACATTTTCAGCGACACTATCCCAGTGCAATATCAGAATTTCACGACCACAAACTCTAACTTATTCATTATGGTGGCCATTACCTTCTACACCTGTCACATTCGATTCGGTCATCCTTGAAAACAAGCTTCCCATCAAGAAAATAAACCAATTCCCAACAGACGAGAAGCCATACAAGAATCGCAAAAAATGTATAGCCACGGTTTCATATCTCGGGTTAACCGTTGCTTCAGTTAGTTGGAAGAAAATCAAAGTTGCGTTTATCTCTGCACAAGTGTTTCAGATTTATTCAGGAAATGCGCAATGAAAAAGTAGCGCTTCATTTTTTATTACCCTCCCTCTCGGCGCCATTATTCTAGCCAACGTGATTCGCTAATTATTTTTATGATGGTCATGCCGTTGAACTTGCGGTTTTACATCCATCAACGTAATTGAAATTGGACGTCATATATCATGTTTATACGAACCGCGATCGATTTCTCCACAAAGTGAACCATCAATAGCAACATACAAATTCATCGTCGAAAAAACAACAGCTGGCACAGGTGTCTACTACAACTTAGGAACAACACAGGTAATGCTGCAACACAAAAATGGCTTGCTGTATCTCTGTTTACAAACAAAAATGAGGGAAGCTTGAAAAAATTATCGGATGCAATTTTTGCACAGAATTTCTGCTGCACTGAACAAACAGAACACACTTTATTGAAGTTGGCTTGGCAACTTGGGCCAGGTTGGCAGCAAGTCTAGTTGGTATTTTATATATCGTGACGTCATGCGACCTGGCACAGCTGCTTACATAACTGCTACGTTGTCGCCTGTACGCATCGCTGCGCTGTTGCCAGATTGGAATCAAACGAACGCTGCTGCTGCTGCTGCTCTAGCTGGCTTTCAGGTGAACGAGAAAAATAGCGTTATAGAAACGGATGTTGGATTATTATTTATTGTTTTGTCAGAGACGTGCGAGACAACGACGCTCTGGTCGACTTATCTTGTAAGATGTATTTTTCACTCTATTTTTACGTCAAGTTACTCATGTGGCCTTCTCTATTATCTACTGTTATCACAGTTATTCATTGTAAACGAGTTTAAATCGTCTCAGTAATCTTAACAAGTCACGCCTTTCCGATTAGAGAAAAATGAATGTATGAACTGAGTTCAAGAAATTGTATTTTGTGTCATTGAAGTTGGTAGTTCTTTATTTGAAAAAAAAAAAAACACTAATGCACTGTCATCAGTGACTGACTACTAAACAGATAATAGAAAGCAAAATGTCATATAGCACGCCAACGTTAGGACACCTACCTGAAACTATCTAGAAATACCTTTGTTAATAATAATAGACGTACCTATATTTATTATTTTGCTAATACGGTATGTAACTGACGTGATATATCCACATTTGATTTTTTTATGGAAAATGTTAATGCTGCATGATTAAACTGACTTAATAAATTTTTCATGTATATTTGGAGACCGTAAATTAATGCGACATGCAATATTTCTGTATGAACAGATTCATTATTTTAAAATAAAATAAAAACTTTCCATGCAGAATTCATCAAATAAAAGATTAACGTCTGACAGTAGCTTAGAAAAACTCCATCGAACTATAAGGAAATAAATAGATGTAGTAGTGTGGCATACACACTATTCGCTCCTGGGTATATTTGCAATTTTATTTTATAAATTGTACCTTGCGAAAACGTTTCTCTCATAAATTAGGGAAATCAAATTACCAACGCTCAACTCTCCACTTGTTATTTATGGAAATATTGATTTGAAATATATTGCAAACAATCGATACCAGGTTGTGTACAACTTTTGTTGAAAAATATTCAATCGCTCACAAAACGATACTGTCCTCTAATTTTACGACGTAACCGCGGCGTACCGGATCATCAAACATAAATTATCACATTTTATGGAACGAAAAGCAGTCAATTGAATCCTTAGTTTTAGACGTTGCTTTTATAAACAGGTCAGAATAGATAACGACGTTTGCATTTGTCAAAAAATGTTAAAAAAGTGTCGGTAAAGCATTTTGAAACACTCAGTATTTTTATTTAAATTTATTTATCCAAAAAATGAGAGTTTTTACATCACCTACGAAAATTATCTTTCTAGTACCAAACTTGAATAAAAACAAACAAGTCGCCAAAGTTGGACATATTGTACGTTGAACAATTATTTTTTCAATAAACAAATTATGAATTCTCTGATACATAAACTAGAGCGTACAATTCGGAGAACAGTATCCACTTTTCGTGCGCAAAAGTATACAAATAAAAAAGCATCACCGTACATTGGAAAACACGCAAACCCTCTTGAATATAGGATGTGATCACTTCGACAAGTTGTAGTTTATTTCCAAGATAATTTCATACGATAATTATATTTAGCATAACCTGCTCTTATTTCTCCAGTAATTTACATCTTTAGTTAAAACTCTAAAATTGTTAAGACACAAGTTCACTCGGCTTCAAAATAAAATAACAAATCCAGTTTCTTCAGATAAGTTATAAAATTTGGTTGTCCGATTTTTATTATTTATGACAATCCCTCTAAACCAATAAAGATGTGTGAATTGTTAAACTACAGTCAAACAAACAAGCATGCTATGCGTGGGTTTCAAATGAGTTTTTCTTAATAAAATGATGTAGTACTGTATTCCTAGAATTTCAGGTAAACCCTATTCAATTTACTCAATAAAACATTTTGCCTCATTATTTTTATAAGAGATCCTGACAAGAGTTCTAAAATATTTGATAAACCACAATA